TGTGTGTGTGTGTGTGTGTGTGTGTGTGTGTGTGTGTGTGTGTGTGTGTGTGTGTGTGTGCGCGCGTGTGCGGAATGCTCACGGGACCGGTGAATGCTCGAGGATTTGCATTTACGCACTGCTTGCATATGGAGTTGGTGCAATTCGATTGCTTCCATTTCATTGATTCGATATTTTTCTGAAATCGGTACAATTTTAGCGAAGAACTCTGTTCAGGCGGCCGAGTGAATTTTTGCTGATGAAAGAACGCGATCGCTATCTGCGCGATTCACACATACATTGAGAAGAAAAAACAGTTGGTTCGACAAAACCGAAGGCGGTTGTCCGCCTTCGAAGAATATTCGATAGATATTCTATATGTTGAATAAATTACGAACTAGCGCGCGCAACAGTAAATCGCGTTGACATAGTTATCGACAAAGTCGCAGTGATTGATACAACTCATCACAGCAACTATATAATTCGTAATTCAATCGGCTTGAACAAATTTTGTTCGTACAAAGGCTCACTAAATTGGAAATGTAAAGGGCTTATTGAAATTGAGAGAAAATATAAATATAGTAAAAAGAAGGTATTTAAAAATGTCAAGTTTTTTTACTGTACTTATGCGTATTTTCTCCGTACGCTTGCTCTAGAAAGCTCTCTGAATTTTCAAGAGTTAGATTGTACATAGAACCTTTCTTAAGTTTCTTAAACTAAACTCAAACATTTTTTCTTCTCAATACACACACACATACGCGCGCGCGTTTTTTCAACGCGACCTTGATACTATGGGGGAACGTAGATATTCAACGAAAATAAAGACTGGGAAGAAAGAAAAACACGTGGAGCGACATTTCAAAGTTTCACGAGAAATTATCCTAAGTGGCGAGAAAACGCGCGTATGAGAAGTTTTGGTTAACAGACTACCGCTCACATGGCGAATCGGTAATTGTTGTTTTGACGCTGTCGCTTTCACGTGTTTTTCGAGCGGTGGAACTTATACATATGCACATAGACGACACGAGGATTTCGTGGCGCGCGGTGAGCCTCTGTTGCCGCGAAAGCTCGCGGCCGATAGTTCTTTTTGATAGTTTGTTTAGGACCGGATCGAAACGAGACGCAAGTATTACACGACACGGTACTCCCATTTTTGCTGATATAACTGCCACCGCGACGAATCTGCCACGTGATGATGACTTACGATCCGCTACAGCGCGTCTCACTCAAATATTCAGTTTATGCGCACCATAAACCGGGACGATTTCGTCAGTCGACGCCCAGTTTCGACTCGCTGATGCGGCGTTTTTTCTCTATTTCCTTTTTTCCTATCTTTTCAATCGACATGCAGAGCAGCGTATCTATCTCGCGCACATATTATCAGAAAATCACGGATAACTCGTCGACAGAATTACGAATTTCGTCTTACGAATTTCTTCTGGAGCGGACATAAGTCGCATATCGTGCACTACTCGAGCATCTTGCTTGTGATTTGGGTGATACAATCGCGCTGGAGAAATACTGACCGAGATATCGGCTGTAATTTTGACAATAACGTCACGCGAGCTCACATCAACCGAAGCGCTTATCGGCGTCTCTCGTATGCAAATCGGCTGCTTATAAGAATACGAAACTACGTTCCGCGCGGTCCAGTAAGTTATAATTGCGCGATACCGAGCAAAAGCGCGGCGTGTCCTTGACACACTTAAACGCAAAACGCTGTGCTTAAGGCTCCTGGGGAGTCGCATCATCCATCTCTTTTTAATGACGTCAGAAGCAAGAAAACGCATGCTAAAAATTCTTGCGAAATACGTCGAAATAAACAGATATATCCACAAAACGACATTTGCGATCGATTACACTTCTAAAATACTCCGTACACTTTGCTTTTATTTTAACAATCAACAGATAATTATAAAATAAATGTGACGTGCAATCGTCTTTTCTAATCTAATTTCCTCATTATCTTGTCATATTAATTTTCCGATTATCTATTGATTTTTAGAACAAAAGGAAAGTGTACGGAGTATTTTAGAGGTGTATTTAATCGATCGCAAATGTCGTTTTGTAAATATATCTGTTTATCTCGACGTATTTTGCAAGAATGTTTAGCATGCGTTTTCTCGCTTCTGACGTCATTAAAAAGATGAATAATGCGACTCCCCAGGAGCCTTAACGAGCGAACAGGATTAATGCCGCAATTCCAAACAGAATCGTAAGTCTCATAACTTGTAAAATTCGTAAGCGTAACTCTACAATTCTGTGCGTGCCATATGCTGTAGATCACTTGTAAACATCGTGTAAATTACGTGAAATCGTGGATGTTTATAAGTGATCACGTGATACACGGTATAGAATTGTAGATCTATTCGTGAGTTCTTACGAATTTTACAAGTTACGAATTTTATGATACCGTGTAGAATTGCAACATAAGAATCTGAAAAAGCGCAACTTAAGCACAGTCGACTCTGAAAACTCGCAGTAAAATAATACGCGACTTCGTCCGCTCGACTCCAAGACTCAGAGATATACGACATCGCGTGCGATTCCGCTATCAGCTGCCAGATCGTTGCAAAAATTGCTATTTTCAGTTATTAAAATCGAAACTTCTAATAAAAAAGATCAGTCAGAAATCGGTGTCAAATATCGATCACGCCAGCACTTTGTTTACGAGTTTAGAAACACGAAATAATTTTCACGCTCGCTCTCTCTCGCGCGCAACGCGATCAAGCTCTCGAAAACGCGGCGAGAATATTCGGTGGATATTTACGAGCGTCTCGCGAAACGAGAGCTAAATCGGAAACGTCGCTTCGGCCGTAAGCACGAGAATCCTCGGCTCCGATACTGCTTGGTAGCCTGTTATTCTCCACGGTTCTCTCGTTTTTACAAGCGCTTGTCGTTTTTCTTCGTCGTGCTTTCCTTGAACTGTACACCAGCCAGTATTGTAAACACAATGTAACACTCGCCAGAAAGATCCCGACGGGAAGGAGCAGAAATATCGCCCTCATGTCGGCCAGCGTGAATCCTGAGTCAATTCCATCGTCGGCCAGACACTGCGCTCTCGCCGGATTCTCGTCCCACCATTTCCTCTCCAATCTCGACGATATTCCCCGCAACGCAACCTGCGCGATTCTACGCGAAGAAAAAGCACAGAGAGTATGAGAGATATAACAATGGGAACGTGAACATTTGTATGCCATATGAAGAAAACATAAAAACAGGAGTATCGCTTGACTAAATATAGCTATCGTAATAAAATATTAATGTTACTTTTCGCTCATATATGCGAACAAATTGTAGAAGCTATACTCTGAAAATGGCACGTTGGTCTTCTTTGCTGTTTATCTATTCGCGTTCCAGTGGAATTCTCAGTGTATTAATGGTCAAACTATTCGGTAATTATTAGCAAATCATTTGGTGCTATTTATCGAACTATTTAATTTCGTTGGTTCAACTAAATGAAGAATTTGTTTTACCAATTATTTTGTAATTACTATCAGATAGCTAGTAACTATTTGATACTATCGTATTTGATACTAATAATCAAATATTTACATTGATATGCTCAACTAAATGCATCAACTACTACACGATTTTTCTCCAATATACTAGATTGTAGGATGTAGGAACATTACGTATCATAATAATTGTGATTGTGAGAACTCTGTACATTGAGAAAAAAATATTTGAAAATTTACTTGTGAAATATGAAGTTTGCTCACAGAAATGAACCTTATTGTACTGAAATTTTCAAATACTTTTTCTCTGTGCAAAGCGTTTTCTCCGTGCACATATAATCACGCATGTCAAGTGCACTAAACAATGCGGCGCGCACGGCACACGAGAAATCAGTCAGAAACAGAGTGATAAACTGGAATCTCACAGATATACAGATATACGTACGCGTCGTCGAGCTTGCTCTTCAACGGGGAGCCCTTCTTCACGGCGAATGCGAACGGCCTCATGCCGAATTGCTTGCCCACTTGCCTGAGATCGCAATTGTTCAGCTCGAGATATCTGATTTGCATCGCCTCGCCGATGTAAGCGAACTCGCGAGTGCGATTGATCCTCCGCACGCTGTTCACGGCTTCCTGCTTGTCGATGAGAAAACCCGTCCTCCTCATCGCGTTATATATCTTCGTGTACTTATCGTCGACCGGATACTCCCATACGGTGAGCTTGCTCCTCTCCCAGCCCGACAGGCTCTCGTCCAGGCTCATTCGTCGCCACAAACTGTAAACACGTTCGCTCAGCAGTGCTCCTGACATTCACGAGCTGAAGGCGTTGTGCTGACGGGTTCGCTTTTATTCGTCGTTAACGGGACACGTTTCGCGCAGATTAAGCGACCACCTCTCCATGACCCGCGCCTTAAGGTCACTCGAGAGAGACTACCGTGTGAAACGTTGTTTACGTCAATAACATAGCGCGAGAGAGACGCCGCGTTATATTAAGTCACTTACTATTATAAATCACACGAAGCTCCGTGACGTCGCTTTTGCGCACCCGAAGACGCGCGGATGCGTCGAGCGGCTGTATAATCCTCTTTAATGATGAAAGAGCTAACGCCCAGCATCAGGCTGGCGTAAATCCCGACCAACGGCCTTATTCTCGAAAAATATCGCACGCGATATTTCTATGAAAAGCTGTCATTCACGTTACATATATTATACTTTTTATGGAAAAGCCGTGTGCGATATTTTTCAAGGATGCAGTTTCCGGTGGACGATCGCGAATGTTGGTACACATCGGCGCGAGACTCATTATTGCCCTCGTGATAATTGGCCAGGCGTTTTCACGGCTCGCGTGATTTCGCAGTGAATCAATTTCGCTAACGCGACGCGATTAGCGCTGCTTTTTAACGATTTACAGCGGCGACCCATAATGTGCAATTCGCGCATGTCTCACCGCCGCGTATCGAATAATAATTTGTCAGAGCAGAAAGGGGCGGTCCGCCCATGTGTGTGTCTCGTTTCACGGCAATTTAAATCACATATCGCGCGATAATTCGACCAGCCGCGCGAACAACGAACACCGGCTAATGCGCGCTCGTTATTGTTACCTCATCACCTTGCTCGGGACGACCGAATTTGATCGCGCCGCGGAATCCATCGCGAAATGAAATACGAGCGCCTTCGACTCGCGCGAGCGAATAATCGCTCGTTTGTTCCTTCCGTCGTTCATTCATTCGTTTCTTTTCGGTCTGTAGTATAATATATTCGCGACATATTGCTCCGTAACATGTACCAAAGGGATCTGCGATGATACCGTGCGCCAGCTGTATTGCAAGTCCCAACAATCGCCATTGTCGTCCGTTATCGGGATGCCCTCGTAATTCCCCGTCGAGAGATTTTCTCCGAATCCGCGGAAAATATCGGCGAACAACACATCCCGCCTCTCTGCCGTCTCTTACCCAACCTCTGTCCTTTCTCCTGCCATATATTGATTCCAAGTAAATATAATGTGACGGTAACATTATATTGATGTTATATCTGCCACTCAACAATGCAAATGTAACATGACACATGTCGTGCACTACAGTTATATTGTTGAGCAGGAAGTGAACGTTAATGTAATGTTGCTCAGCACAAATCTCCAAGAGACATCTTGGGGATGTCTTTGGGGACATCTTCAGGATATCTCTTGGATATTCCTTGGAGGTCTATTTTGTCTGGACTCTTATTCAGGCTGCGTTCCTTTTGAACATTTTCATGCTGAGAGTATTATTCTATCTTCCTTTAGTGTGTAATGAGCAATAAAGATAGAATCAGCATGAAAGTGTCCAACGTAGCCTCAATAAGTCTATATATCCTCTTGAAGAATTTTTTGGTGCACACCAGTATAGTAAGTCAGAACGAGCAAATATATCTTATTTTGCTCTAACTTATTGCATCAGTATTCACTGACATTAGTTCTTCAAGAAAGGATAGATCTATTGTTTACTAGGATTCTGTTGGAACTTACAAAGACTAATATCCTTTTAATTCTGTAGGAAGATTGAAGGAACCGGCGATTTCGCTTGTTACTCACTCCATAACCTAAGTCAGTGTTAATCAAAAAATAGGAAAAAGGGGCAATTCGAATTCAAGCACAGGACTAATAGTGCTATGTACCATATGGGTAAAACCTTCCTTGTGTTAGGAAATCGTGTAATATTTATTGAACATAGATAATCAATATAAAACAATCATACGTTTCGGCTCAAACATGAACTCTTCAGTGATAATAAAAACTCAAGGTTTATGATACGAACGCATTACAATTAGTTAAAGACCTGAATAAATTGACATGAATGTTAATCGCAATATTAAAGCTGACAAGACCGTTACCGAAATAATATTAAGTAGTTAATTAATATTGAGAAGTAGCCGTCATAACTATAAAAAATCATAAATAAAATAAAAGTAAGTAAAATTGAAATATAATAAATAATTAAAACTGACAATATAAAATACCTTTGTTGAGCTCAGCTAAAAGTAAACCGATCCTGTCAACGATAACATCGCCACGTCTACGAACAAATGTATGATTGTTTTATATTGATTATTTATGTTCAATAAATATTATACGATTTCCTAACACAAGGAAGGTTTTACCTATATGGTACATAGCACTATTAGTACTGTGCTTGAACTCGAATTGCCCCTTTTTCCTATTTTTTGATTGATATCTTTGTTTGCGAGTTCTTATTTCTTTCTCTAAATAAGTCAGTGTTGTTAAACGAGTCCTCTCCCCTACACTTTGAATGTAACGTGAATGTGACATCAGCAGAATACGCAATTTGATTATTTAAAGGTGTTGTAGTCCCTACTTGGATGTTGTTCCTGAAAAGTCATTTACAAAGTTTTGAAAAATTAATAGAAATATACTCGGAATCGGTTATTTTTTCTAGCGATACTTGGAACAATTCTTTTGTTGGATAAGACAGGTGCGTTTCGAAATTCAGGCAAAAGTAGCAGACAACCTTTTCATCCAAAATCGCACATATTTTCCGATATCTTTCCACATGGGCGAGAAGGAGGACTCGTCTAACAACACTGACCTAACCTTCAAAAAGGGCGATGATTCACCGAGTGTTGATTCGCGATTCACGTTGGTCTGATCGCTACTGTCGCGATTACTACGTGTATCAGAGAGAAACCACGACGGTCTCGCTTACTCGTTCAGAAGCTCCTCGTTGTCCTTCAGGCTCTCGAAATACCTGTAGGTCGATGAATTAATAATGGTTGAGTAATCCACCTGATACTGCCTCCTGAGATCATCGATCGTCTCGATATGGCGCTCCAATCGATAGAGGGTTCGATACGCGGCCAAGTTCGCGGTGTAGACCGCCGTGATGATGAAGACGAACAGCCACCAGACAGCGACGGCCATTTTACCGGAGAGGCTCTTGGGCATAGCGCCGCAACCCTCGGGGGTGAGCGACGTCAGGCAGAACCAGAAGCATCCTCGTAAGCTCGCGAATCGCCGATCCGGCTCGTCCGTGTATCTCTCCGGTGCGTTGCTGTAACTGAAGGGTGAGAATCTCTCGAACAGGCGCATCAAGATCGACGTGACGAGAAACGCGACGGCGAAGTTCAGCCAGACCTGGGGGTCGAGGATCGTGAGGAACCACAGAAACACGGTGGACTCCCTGCGTCTTCGCATCATGATCGTGAAGCCGTTGTCTTTGTAGAAAGGTATGGTGTAGTCTATTACCTGTGGCGCGGGAAACGAAAGCCCTCAGTATCGAATCGATCATTCCATTTTCGATCCTAATAATAGCCTCGTTCGTATTTATTCATTGAGCTTCCATTACAAAACTTTCCTTTTTAAGAACAATTTTATCTGGAAATCTGCAATTCGCGTTACGTGCGCTATGGATATGCAAGATATAAGAAAAGTTTTTTTGTAGTGTTCTCACGATCGCATCCCTGTAACGCATTTTACATTTTCTCAAGCATTTCTAAGCTGCCTACATTTAACGTATATTTATTCTATGGCTACGTTTCGGATTTGCTCTGAAAATCAAGCAAACACCGAAAATTTATGATTAACGTTATATGTACCATTGTAGTAGTATTCTTTCAGTACTCTGACAATGAGTACGCAAACGCAGCTTGTACTTAACAAGTTCTCACACTCGATAAATCTCTTTTAGAATTAGTCACGACTTTCACTGTGGCCTGTATGAAATGTCCATTTTAAACGTCTTAGAAAGAATTTAAACGTTTTCCTAGGTTAGTAGTCTCAGGTAGCTGAAATACAGACTCAAGTATTTTAGATATGCAGTAGTAGTCTCTATTTGAATGTTCCTAAAAAGTCATTTATTTAGTCATTATTTAAGTTTTGAAAAATTAATAGAAATATTCTCGGAATCGATTATTTTTTTCTAGTGATACCTGGAATGATTCAATTATATCAATTTGTGTGTGAAGGCCCTTAAAATCGACGATGACGACCGCCAAGGGCATACCTGTCGCCGCATGTGCGTGATCCACAAGGCTCCCGCGGCGAAGTCGGCGGAGTCTGTCAACAGGTCCGCGATCATGCCGTTCCACTTGCCTGACTCGGTCATATGGCCGAACTCCTTATCGCTGGACTCCGCGAGGTCGTAGTCGAAGCCGCAGATCCGACTCATCGCGTTCAGCAGATCGATGCAGTAGCCGTAGAAGCTATCGGTGCTGCCGTTGTACATGACGAATGGCGCGGTAATGGCCGTCACTACGCGATACCGCGGTCTCACGGTAACATTCATCTCGCGAGCTTACGAGCCGCTAATTGCCGCCCGGAAACGAGCGCGCGCGCGCGAGATATTTCCACCGATTTCGAAAAAAGACGACCCTGCGGCTTGCACGGCTAATCCGCGTTCGCGGAGGCGGAGGAGCTCTGAGCGCTCGTTAATCAACGACGCGATTTGATATGTAGGCGGCTGATGTATCTTCCTTCCTCTCTCTCTTCCTCCTTCTCTATCGCGAAATGACGACTCGATCGCTGCAACTGCAGAGAAAAATCAAAGTGCCATTCGTTAAATGACGACGGCGGACGATATGAAAAGTCAATCCCGAGATAATCCTGTGGAAATTCTTCGTTGTCCCTTTTTTTTTTTAAGTTTTTCGACAAAAAACGCGCGCGCGTCGATTTTTCGCAACGGCGAAACAGATTTCATTTCGAGATATTCGAGTAGAATCAACGAATAGAAGCCGGACGGATACATCGCGCCGGATTTATCGGTGAATTTCGCATTATCGATGACAACGAACTTATCGAGCCTTAATAAATTGCCTCGCGGTTGTATTTATGTGCGCGCAGTAACAAAAGCTCGTGCTAATCGTATATCGAAAATGCGAATTTATAGCGGGAAACGTGCGTGTGCGATGCGTGAGCGAGCCGATTTTAAAGCGTCGCGCGGAATTAATGCGATACATTTATTCCTCGCTGTTTACAATATGTTGCTCGTTATAATACACACACTGCCACAATCGCCGCCGTGGGAAACAAAAGTTGTGCATCGCGTTCGACGGTCTATAATTAAAACAGAAGAAAGATTGCAACATTCCGTTCGTTTTCTTTTTTTCAATAAATTTTACAACGCAGTTGTCCAACAGAAGAGTAAGTTTTTTTAGCAATACTCAGGAGATAAATTTTCTTGTTGCGCGGAGAGAATTGTTATGCTACAACCACATTCGCTCTACGGTTAGAGAGAAAATTTATATGAATTCCAAATAGATATTCCAAATAGATATTGAAAATTGGTTGTACGCCCATCTATTGCCACAGCCACAGTTCTTACACTGAGAGAATAAATATCTAAAAGATAAAAAATATTTATTCGACGGTGGGCAGTAATAACGTATTTATTTAAATATTAATTCTTTCACTCAACTTAACGGCAGACTGAGAGGTGCTGAGCGACTTCCTTTCTTAGATATTTCTTCTTTCAGTATATGATTCAGCGTAATATTCAATTAGTATATCTTCAGTTACTTTATAACCGAAACTATATTACTGTCTCTCTATGATTTACAGAACGAATATTATGGTTGAGAGAGATCTGTAAGGTTGGCTTCACCAGACAGCACTGCGAGCTCTACTCACGAACAGAAGCAGCAAAGAAGCTCAGCGTGCCACTTCCAGAATACTGCGGTTTCTGCGAGCTTCTTATACGCATGAGTGAGAAATAACATTTAATATTTTACTGTGGCAACGAAATGTTTAACTAAGTGTAATTCTTAGTATCTTCGTGCGCCGCGCATTCTGGAATTCATCCAAGTAAAAGCGTCGCAATCTTCCTCCCACCGATCCCGCGCATATCTTACAAGTAAATCTACCCGGAGAAAAATAATTTTGCTTTTTTAGTAAAATCGTCGTTGTTACTGCATATTTGTAGTGACATCAAAAAAATTTAGTTGACGTAACTAATTATTCATTACAGAACAGAAGTAGTTTCGTTGCCAGGATAGAAAAAAAATTGTTGAGTGTATTTGCCCTAAGAATCACGTTAATTTGCTATTGATGCAAAATAATATATCCTTAGCAAATTTATTTGCTATCAGAGCAAAATTGCAACTGCTTATATAAATCCATCATGGTTCTTATAGCAAAATAATTTGTAGATTCAACAAATTATATCCAGCAAATAGTGATTAATACTCTTAACAAATCTTTTTGCTATATAATAACAAAAAGATTTTGCTAGACCAGCAGAAAGTTTGCTGGGCCAGCAAATTATTTTTCTCCGTGTTCTCAAAAGTTACACTCCGATTTCTTTCTAATTTGGCAAAAATGTTGATTAGTGTTAGATTAGTCAAAAATGGTTCGAATTTCGGCCAAACCTAGAAAGAGAGATCCGGCAATTTTAATTAAAATTTTAATAAAATCGGCATAGCTAAAACACGAACTATTCTAAATTTCTTTAGCCGAGATTCCAACCAAAATATTTCAAATCTGCTAAATTAAAAATGGTTCGAATCTCGGCCAAACTGAGAAATTATTTGTATAAATAGTTTTTTTTCAATTTTTTACATGTTTTATTTAAATACTTTATTATTTATACAAATAATTTTACACATTTGACTTCATATTTATAATCACAAACCAAAAACGTCTATATCTTGTATTCAATTTTATTTCTTATGCATTTTGGTTTTATTTGTTGATGATAGGAATGAGAACATTAAAAAGCTATAAATTGCCTGTGAAACTCAAAGTGAGCCAAAATTAAAAAATATGACCTACATATTTTTTGTACTTCTATTTATACCAAATTAGAAAGAAATCGGAGTGTACCTTTTGGGTAGGTTTACTTGTTAGTTATCAATGTACATCGCAAAAAGGAATACAAAGCTTGGTAAAACGCGCCGCATTTTTTCCCCGCGTCCAATTCAGCGTCCGGATCTTCATAAACGCGAGGATCCCGACGAAGTAATATACCGCGCTTTAGGACATACGGAAATACTTACTCTCTCGCGCCGGAAGGCTTCTCTCCACCTTGCGAAGGTGACACAGGTTACTGTGCGATGCAGCCACTTCCTTGTTTGTGTGTTTCCGTACCGGTTGCCTCGGGGATAACGCCGGGTCGCGGTGCTCACCTGATCGATTATGTTCCTTTGCCTTTCTTCCTTTTTAGCGGTATTTTTCTCTTTTTTTTTACGAAGTACCCCTCTTTGATGATAACAGCTAATGACAAGATGGACTACCTTCCGCGTGAGTCATTCTTGTTGCGTTTTCTCTCTCTCTTTCTTTCGTTTTGTTTTTACCCTACCGCGTATCTCCGCGCGCGAATTAGGCCACGAGCGTGCACGTTTGGCATTTCTGACGGGTTTCCCGTGCATAACATGCAATTTCGCGCTGCATGTTTAGACGGAGACGCTCATTACAATCTCACGTATCAGCGTGGAATTCGCGATTTTTGTATTGTATCGGCGCAACACGCGGTAACTTTCACGTCGCTGATGGCTTTGTGGAACGTACACTTTTCGCATGCACTTCTCAACAAGCTTTATCTCGACAGGTGAATCTGAATATTTTCCTCTGCATGCTGTTTGAAATCATAGAGTGAATTACGATATTAGAGCGAACACGAAATTATCGCCGAGTGGTGCAACCTGTTCGGTACTTTCAGACTCGTTAATGATTTATTGAGAGAAAATGTTTTAGTATTTGTGATTACTCAAGCAGAAAAATTTCCAGGAAAAACTGGAGAAGTCGCTTTTTTTACTTTGGTATAATCGCATAGAATTTTCAATTATGTTTAGTGATAATAACTTTATGTGCAGGTTACTGCTACCATTTTTGTATTGGAACAGCCAAGGGATGTGGTCGGGGCCAAAAGTTTTTCGGTTCAAAGCGATTTTGACTGCTGTGCGATACGAGCACGCGCTGCGTCGTCGTCGTGAGTCGAGTTGTGCGCTGAGGGAAAAATTGTCTTAAAATCAGATATTTTTTTGATGGTTGCCATTAACATATTTACTTAAATCTAAATTCTCTTTATTTAAATCAAATATTGTTCACCTGATTTAAGTGAACAACAATATTTGGTTTAAATAAAGAGAATTTAGATGTAAATAAATATGTCAATGGCACCCATCAAAGAAATATTTGTTGGTTTTAAGGTAATTTTTCCCTCAGCGTGTACACGAGAATCGTAAACGACTGGCTAGGAGTATGGTAAAATCTGGTTCTAGGTCGTAAGGTTGCGAATTCATGCTTATGTAGTGCGCGCGAATCGTTACGAAGGCTTATAAGTTGAAAATCAGATTCAGTGTAGACGCTAAAGGCTGCGTGGTTAAGCGATATCGCGGTCAATTGCATTAATGTCTCACGCAGCGCATACTACGCTATATATCCGTCATTCTGGCCAATTCTGCACGGCTTGTGATATCGTGTGGCGAATAAGCGCCGTGTACGTCGTCTCCCGTCTCGCAACGACCGGCGATCGCTTTCTTCATTAGAGAAAATTCAATCCTTTATCCTGCACATGCCGCATATCAATGCGCGCACGCGCGTGTGTGTGTGCATTCAATTGTAGTTAATTAAAAAATTCTTAAGGAGCAGGAATGTCTTTATCAATTTAGCGTAGCAATCTCGAGACAATTCGAATAATGAATATTCTTTTTTAATGATACATTTCCTTTAACTCTCTATTGTCCAAATTAATTTATTATATTTAAGGGGACTGGAAGGTCAGATTGCCTGATTGTCGTGTTTTTCTCATAATTTTTTATGACAAACTGAATGAATATGCGAAAGTGTTATTTTGACGTATATTTATACAACATATAAAGAGAAGAAAAATGTAATTTTAATGATCAAGTAACTCAATATAAGTGTATGGTACCTGCAGTTAAAATATATTTCGCTTTTCTTTTCAAGGTCGTTATTTTGCAGTAATATCTTGACTCTCGATGATTCAATTAAGCTGAATTTTAGGTAGCAAATTTCTATAAGCTTGTCGTTATCGTGTGAACCATATAATAGAAATTGAGTAAAAGTTAACAAAATTGCAAATATCTTACTAGAATATTATTAAATTTTCCGTTCTTTTAGAGTAAAAAAAGTAATATTTTAAAATTAAATATTTTCACGAGTTTGTTAATGGTTCATACGATAGTGACAAACTTACGGAAATTTTCTACCTAAAATTCAGTTTAATTGAACCACCGAGAGTCAAGATATTACTGCAAAATGACGACCTTGTAAAGAAAAACGAAATATATTTTAACTGCATCTACCATACACTTATATTGAATATTTGAT